TTTTATTTTTCTTTGCTGTCGTTTGGGCTAGTGTTTGCTGATAATATTGTATTCATGTATATCATGTATTGATTGGCTTGATATTACACATTGCTAAATGCTTTGCTGCCCAACTGTTTGTTTGGTTCACATGCACAGACTCTGCGTCCCAGGATTGCACATTTTAAAACAACCAGATTGTAACCAGTAGTGTGGAAATCTTTTCTATGCACATTTTAATAATGTAGGATGCATCATTCCAGATGAAGTACATGAGAAACTGTAACAATTGGAGGAGAATTGCCATTTATTTTGATTTGGGCTTCCAAAGAACATGCAGTGAATGGCCAGTGTATTAAAGGCAACATCTCCTAAAATATGAAACTATCAGCACTTTTTGCTATCAGCCAAACACAGATCTAACTCCTGGAGGCATTTCCCACCTTTTCCATTTCATATTGGTGGTGATGGGGTGATGCTACCTTGACCTCCAAGATAGTTCTGATCTGCTAAATTTTAACTTCACTTTACCTCTTTCTCCTCCGAAGCTCTTGGTACAGATTTGTATGTCGAGGGTTAACCTTGTTTAGCCTCCTCACTTGCCCCTACTCTCGATGCTGTCTTACTGTGATAGTTACTGGTGATGGTGATCTTGGGGTCTGAGATAGGCGATAGCTGGTGCAGCAGAAGTCAGACTAGGACCCTGAGGCCATTGCCTGGAGGTTGATTTTGGGGCCATGGGAGGGTTATTTTTGTTTTGGGTTGTTTTTTTAAGGCTATGCTAACACTGTCATCTATGAAGCTATCGTATTTATAATTAGGTTTAAATATTTCACATTTTAAGGGGAAGCCTGAAATGTGGATAAGATTCAGTTAAAGTAAGATTTAAATGTTGCTACATAGAGCTAATTTCTTTCTTCTTAAAAATCAGTAATTATGTTTTTGAAATCTCGGAAATGTCTTTCAATTACTGACTTATCAAATTTGCATTTTGTTAAGCAATACGAGGATTCTCTCCACCACATAGAATCTGCAGTTTTGAAGAGGCAAAGGGTTTGGATAGGATCAATGAGAGAATGCCACCCCGGAAAGATGCTGTACAGCAAGATGGTTTCAATTCTCTGAACACCGCACATGCCACTGAGAACCACGGGACTGGCAACCATAGTGCCCAGTGACCCACGGCTTCCCAGGGACTCTCACATCTCGGGCCCCAAACGGACAGATCACCCGAGGAGCTGGAGGGGTCGGCCAAGCTGACTGTAAATGTCACAGTCCCTCTGGAGAAACCATTGTGCTTTTGAGACCCCAGCCCCCTTCCTGGATGGAGGCTTGAGGGCCCTGGGACATGTTGTGCTATCTGATCAGATTGGGTCATCGCTGCCAAGGTGGGGAGCAGTGAGCAAGGGGCTTGGGGCAATTTCCAGTGGAGGGTAACTACACCTCCATTTATGCTTGTGGTTCACACATTTAAGTTTACAAATGAGATTTCTTTTTCCCCTCAGTAGAATTAGATTTTGTTTTTCAACCATGACTTCAATTGTAAGCCTAAGAGCTAACATGGACTTCTTTCCCCTCCCCATGAAATGTCTTTAAAGGATGAATTAGCATGGTCTTAAAATACATTTCTGAGGTTACTAAGCTGTATTTTGAATTAAGGGCAAAATGCTGAGAAACCCAGTTGGCGTTTATACAAAATGCTGACCTCAGGTCTGTATTCTTAAATGTGGCTAATTCTGTAATATAGTCTTGGTATTTTTCAATTATGAATGCATCACCTATTTCTAGGCAGACTCTCTTACTTGAACACAGATCCAAAAACTAATTTAGAATCTTTTTGCCCAGGTCTTTTGAGATTTACACCCCAGAGATTTAAGAAGAAAACCTCTAAAATTTCAAAATTATGAAGAATTACAGAATTACTCATCTAAGATACTTTAAAAGAAGTTTGTACATTGTCAAAGTAAATTTTAATTCAAATCATGTCTGTAAAACTTGACGTATTTTGTGTATGCATGTTTTCATTTTGCAAATATTTAATATATAGACCTATGATGTACAGGTACGACATGTATAGGTTACCTAGATGTTATGAGAAATTTTAGTTTATCGTGAGTACTCAAGTTGCTTAAATGGCCACCAGGATGATTTGCTGCTGGCTTTCTATCATTTTTATGTTTTGATGCAAAGGAAATTTTAAAATGTTCTGGAAGTGTTTTTGATTAAGCAATGCAACATAGAAGAAACAATGGTTCTGGTCAGTCATTCAGTTGTTAGTGGAAGCATAAAAGTCAAGACTGCATGTTGAACATTTTCTTTTGATAGTTACAAAACTGCTTGGTTAAACTCAATGGAACCATGTGCTAATTTTTCACAACTATTGACCTGTATTGATTGCCACTGTAGTTTGGTATTTCCCTTTACTCTGGTGGCCTGCTTCCCTCATGCCCTGGAATACAACTCAGAGCTCCAGGCAGCGGAACCATCTATTGTTTTGTTTGCCAGAAAGTGCACCCTGTATGGTCTCCTGTCTAAGTTGGAAATATTATGCATGTGCAGGACTATTCGAGTATTTTATAAACAGTAGCACACAATAAATTCCATGCATGGGCCGCTGCTCCTATCTCTGTGTTGGGTTTTATTTGGAAGATGTAGTCTGATTTGACCTTCTCATGCAAATCAGAAAACCCTGGTAACAGAACTGGGCTGTATCCTTCAGAGATTATGTCATGGATAGTTTGTGGTGATTTGATTAATTAAATTCTTGTCTTCATAAATTTTTTTTTTTTTAAACTCTGGTTACTCATGTTTTACATGAGCATTAGTAGCTGAGCACTACAGGACTGGGTGCCTATTATAGGCCTCCTAAACCTTAATATTTAAGATCACTGTTTCACTTAACTTTTAATTAAAAGAAAATGTTACTGTCTAGAATTTTGTTACAGTAGTATTGGAAATTTATGGGGTGTTTTACAATAAGAAAAAAAGACACTAGTGATAGTGCATTTTTCTGACATCATATTCCTCTATTTTTTGCCATGGTCAAAATAAGTATGGAATTTTGCAAATTGAGGGAAATTAGGATATTGGTCAACATTTTATAATAATATAATTATATAGCAACTTTAATTACAGTTTTCAACAATAATTATAATGATACACATTATAAAGCATCCATTTAACTTGAAATGTATATACCTGCCTAATTCCCAATAACAAACAGAACTCAAATTGTTGATTGTTACACCTTCTACTTGTTGTAATATTAACTTGCATACCAGTCCATGAGCTGCCTTTAAAGTTCTTATGCACATTGCATACCTTAAAGATTCTTTTTGATGTTATTATTTTCTGAAAACTATGTATCTCTAAATTATCAGCTTAACTAGTATATCAGGTATCAGGAACCTCCTTAGACCTGAGGCCCATCACTAGGGTTATATAGTGTTTGTGGGAATCATGGATAAATATAAAGCATCATTAGCAAACTAAGAAGAATTATGTGTTGATGGGTAAAAATTAAAAAGAAGGAGAAAGGAACAGAACTGAGAAAAAGTGGTATACATGAGGAGTGGGAGAATATCACCCAGCACCTCACAGACCACACTTCTTACCTGTTGAATAGGAACCTCTTCCTTCTGGTCTTTATAACTAGTTTCACAATGAACCATACAAATATTTTTAAGGTGTTTTTTTGTTTGTTTGTTTTTTTTTTTTAAATCCATTATGATGGCAAATTGGGTCTACCAGAGCAAATAGTAGTGATGGTAAAATGTAAATTACTACTCAATATCAATTTTTTTCTGTATATTTAAAGATGACACTTGAGTAAGAAAAGATAATCTCTGACTTCTTGTACCTTCTGTAGTTCAGCCATTATTAAAAGAACTCAAAACCTTTAAATGTTCTGCCAGTTACATTTGAAAGTGGCCTGAAACCTTTGCTTAAAAGGAATCACCCCTATTTTATTCAGGATTTTTGCCTTTTGCAACTGATTTTCCTTTGTCCACAGCTGTTTTACACAATCTTATGTAATGTTTTGTTGCATCCTTAACACTTTTCTTCCACCTCCCCTGCTCTTAGTTTGTGCTTTCTACAGTTTGGGGTTCTTTTGGAGTCCGTTCTCTGCTTCTGTTCATATGTATTGTAGATTTGATTTGCCACATTCCAGGACCTCATTGCAAGTGGTTCTGCTGTCTGGTGTGATGATGCTCACAGAAGCAGGTAAGTGACAGCTGGGGCCAGATGTAAGCAGAAAGTCAGATCTTGCAGTCATATAGGACCAGTGCCCTGGGGTCTGGAGCTTGATAGCTATAAGCGAAAATGAGCTAGGAATGTGGAATTAAATTTCCTGGATTGGCATCCATTACAGGAAGGAATAAGATGTTTGAGTTGATTCTTTTTTTCTGTTCCTAGAAATAGTATGCATCTTTAGTCATTAATATTTTGGTCTTGTTTAATAGTTCAGAAATATTTACAGTAGTTCCCCCCTTGTCCATGGTTTTGCTTTCCATAGTTTCAGTCAACTGTGGCCCAAAAATATTAAATGGAAAATTCTGGAAATAATTCATAAGTTTTAAGCTGCATGCCATTTTGAGTAGCATGATGAAAACTCATGCTGTCTGCTCCATCCCACCCAGGACATGAATCATCTGTTTGTCCAGCATATCCACACTGTATAGACTCCCACTGGTCACTTAATAGCCTTCTTGGGAATGAGATAAGCTGTCAAGGTATCGCAGTACTTGTTCACATAACCCTTATTTTACTGAATAATGCCACATTCACATAACTTATTATAGTACATTGTTAACAATTATTCTATTTTATTATTAGTTATTGTTAATCTCTTACTGTGCCTAATTTATAAATTAAAACTATCATAAGGATGTATGTATAAAAAAAACATAGTATATAAAGGGTTCAGTCCTGTCTGCAGTTTCAGGCATCCACTGGGGGTCTGTCTTGGAACATGTCCCCAGTGGATAAGGGAGACTACTATACTTATTTCCCTTTTGAAATAAACAGGTGGAGTGTCTGAGATGATATTCACCCAGAAAGTGCCTTGTTCTCCTTCCAGGGAAAGTGAATTTTACAAATTCTGGATGTTTCTCCTACAGTTGATTTCCTTCTATACCAAGAAATGACCATTTCTGTTCTTTCTTGAGTATTATATTTGTACTTAAGCCTAGATTGGTCATTGTTTAGATGTGTTTGAGCAGTTTTTTACTCTAAAAAGGACTTTGGGCTTGTGGGAACTCATTCTTGGTCTACACTGACATCCAGAAATCCAGGGGTTCCTGTTCCTCTGGGCTGGTGCTTACCTTTTCCAACCAAATATTGATTTGTTATATAGCCCTTCAAGGGTTTTTTTTTCCTGACTGAGAGTAGAAATGCTGCCTTGGTGAGATTGGTGAGATGTCCAAGAAGCAGTAGGTTTCATCTTTCCTCAGCCTGCCTGGCCTTTGGTGAGCTTGGGAGTGTTGACAGAGTCCTGAGCCTTCCTGGCAGAGAAGGAAGGTCAGAAAGAGAGACGTTCATAGGCAGGGGGCCAGGTCCCTACCTACCTCGTTACAGAGAATTCAGCGTGTGTCTGCTTGGCAGGGCGCACCTGATCACAGAGTCCCAGCATTTCAGCAGTTTACAAAGGAAAGTGACATGAAGGGACAGCTGCACGTCAACCACAACTTAGATCTGAGGCGATCAAGCATTCATTTCACTTGGAAGAAATAGAGAAGGAAGGAAGCCCAGGGCTTAGCAGGGTAAGTTACTTTTCCATCAGCTAGTTTGCTTGCATAGTTGATAGTTGAGGAAAGCATTTATCACTCTAGGGAGTGTTAATCACTGATTAAGCTGCTGAATGTGATTGTAAGAGCAATGTGCCTAATGGATTTCTCCTTTTCTCTTTTTCTTAACCGCTTTTGAGGATCTCCAATGACTAGGCTTTACCCCTCTTTTCTTCCCTACCTCTCCAGAGACATTTTGTATTTGCTGGTGAATTAGAGAAAATTAGATGGGCCTTCCTGGTCAGGAGACAGAAGATGACTGTGATTTAGGTGAAACGTATGGCTTTTGGTGAAAGGATGGAGAAAGGTGGGACTTAGGTCTAGGAATAGGCTAATAATTGAGAGAATTTGGAGATGAAGGATAGGAGTTTCTCTAGGCTATCCAGTTCACGGCTCCTTTCCTCTCCAGTCCTTGCTCTTGGTGTTTTCTCTCGTATATGTTGGGAATAAATTAGAGCCCAAGTCACAGAATGGCTATAAAAACATTAAAATGATTCCCCTTTGTAGAGCTGACTCTGAACTCTGGAAAATTCTGAAAGCTTACTATATATAATTCTTTCCAACTTCTCCGTTGTCCCCTCTGTTTTGTGCCTGTGTTTCTCTGTCCCCACCCCCACTTTGACCTTGAAGGATTCTGGGGCTCATTGTAGCAAACTTAGAACCAGGGAACCTGGGTCTGGGATTGGGGTACACAAATTCAGACATGAGTCTGACGATATATGTAGGTGCAAATGCAAAAACCCGGCTCCTTCGTCTGAACTTCTTACCTCCCTGCCAGCAAATTAACTCATTTGTATCATGAACCCGCTCTAGACACAGGAAACCATGACATCAGGGCTTTCACCATCACCACTCCTCCCCCAAGCTGTGTGACTTGACTTCCAGCCAGTTTAACCGAATCCCAGAGAGCCAAGAGTTAATCTTCCGTTGGAGGAAGACCTCTCTGGCAAGGCAGATAAGAAAGTCAGTACCTTTCCGGCCTTACTTGACTTCCACTGCAGCATGAAGGCTTTTGACTGATTATCAGGGAGATATTTATTATTACTCCTGGGATTTAAGACTCTTGAGTTGTCTCAAATCAAAGATATTTTCCCTCCCTACCAATAAACAAAAGGTGAGTCCACTCTTTCAAGGTTTAAGGTGTTATCTTGCCTGAGGGTGCTGCATAGATAGAGCAGATAAATGCTTCTAGAAATGCAATGACTATGGAAATATGAGGGGAATGTGTGGTGATTAAAAATGGAGGGAAGAAGAGTCAGGTCACTTGTTGGAAATGGTGTCCAAATGTGTGAAGGGAACAATTCCATCCACCCTTTCTTAAAGGAACGTGACCCTTAAATCCTAAAATAATCTATCATTATATCTAATTTCTTCTTTATTGGTGGGAATTTAGAAGATATGGAATGCATATGAGCTTAGCTAACTCTGTTCTGTGCACTGTAAAACCATCCATTCATTTGTGGGATGAGGGGGAGACATGAAAGGGGTGGAATGAAAGGACGAGGAGAAAGAAAGTACCTCTGTTAACTTGAGGAGAGGGCTTTGCAAGAGCCATGTTGTAATAGAACGGATATTAGCTGGATGGTTCTGGGAGGGATTGTTTCACCACTTATGCTTTAGCTGAAGGATGATTAGGAGTTTTTTCCTAACAAATCTGGTCCGGAAGGATTAAATGTCAGAACATTTTTGTAACAAAACATGATCCCTGATTTGAACTTAAATAGTTACCTCATTCACAGTAAAACCAACCACTGTCAGTATTTTTCTCCTTATTTCCCTGTCCCCAGAGGCAGTTAATCTGGGGTTAATAACGTATTAGCTTCTCAATCTCTACAGATACCATTTTTCTTTTTTAATTGAGGTGAAATTCACATAACAAAACACTTTTAAAGTGAGCAATTAAATGTCATTTAGTACATTCACATTGTTGTGTAATGACCACTTCTATCTAGTTCCAAAACATTTTTATCACCCCAAAAGAAAACTCCATAACCATTAGGCAGTTACTCCCCACTCCCTCTTCCACCCAGCCCCTGGCAACCATGAATCTGCTTTCTGTCTCTGGATTTGCCTGTTGTTGATATCTCCTACAAATGGAATCATGTAATGTGACCTTTTGTTCCTGGCTTCTTTTATTTAACATAATGTTTTGAGGTTCATCCATGTTGTAGCATATATCAGTACTTCATTCCTTTTTATGACTGAATCATCCATACCAAGATTTGTTTATTCATCTCTTGGTGGACTTTTGGGTTGTTTCTACTTTTTGGCTATTGTGAATAGTGGTGCTATGAACACTTGTATATAAATATAAGCATTTGTTTACTTGTTTCCAATTATTTTGGGTATATACCTCAGAGTGAAATTGCTGAGTCATATGATAATTCTCTGTTTAACTTTTTGCAGAGTTGGCCATACTGTTTTCCATAAGTGGCTGTACCATTTTACATTTCTACCATCAGTACACAAAGGCTGCAGTTTTTCCACATCCTTACCAACACTTGTTATTTTTTAAATTTTTTATATTTTTACAATAGCCATCCTAATGGGTGTAAAGTGATATCTGTGGTTTTGATTTGCATTTTCATAATGATTAGTGATGTTGAACATCTTTTCATGTGTTCATGAAACTTGTATATTTTCTTTGGAGACATTCTGTTAAGTCTTTTGCCCATTTTTAAATTTGAGTTGTTTGGTGTTGTTGAGTTTTAGGAGTTCTTCATGTGTTCAGGTTATTAATCCCTTCTATATGATTTGCAAGTGTTTTCTTTCATCCTATGGGTTTTTTTTCGTTTTTTTTTTCTAGCCGAGCCATCTTGCCACCTGTTGGCAGCTCAGCAGCAGCTCAGCTCGGGCCAGGACTCGAAGCACTGTTGCTCAGAGCTCGCATTCTTGAGCGAGCTCTTAACCAACTGAGCCACTCGGCCAGCCCCCATCCTATGGGTTTTGATTTCACTCTGTCCTTTGATGCACAAAAGTTTTTAATTTTGACATAGTCCAATTTAATCAATTTTTCTTTTGTTTCCTGTTCTTTTGGTGTCATAGCCAAGAACTTGCCTAATCCAGTGTCATGAAGCTCTCTTCCTATGTGCTCTTCTAAGACTTTATAGTTTTAGCTCTTACGTTTAGGTCTTTAGACTCAATTATGCTCAGACCATTCTATTGCATTAATTCTCAGAATGTTCCTATTGACATTTCTGTCTTCAAGTTCTTCTCTGCCTAGAATTCCTTTTTTCCTATGTCCTTGTATTCAAAATATTATCATCTTTTATGGTCTATTCCAATTGTCTCGCTGCTTCATAAAGTCTTTCTATAGCTCACCAACTAAAGAGACTTTCTTCCTCTGGTCTCCCTTTAGTGCTTAGTTTCACTTTTCTTATAGGATTTATATGCTGTCTTATACTAGAGTTTACATTTAATCCCTCTATAAGACATTTGGATGTGAAGTATATTTTTCATAACTTTTTCCATTATAGTGTTTTGTGAATAATTTTATCTGTTTATAAATAAATATTTATTGACTGGATGTTTTTATTTTTTCCAATGCAGTCCCTTTTGTTTACTCAGCCTTTGTGGAAGGAATGAGAGAAGATAAGCCAGGGAAGAGGACATCACAGAGTTCCTGTTAGGTAGTGGGTGGGTGTAGACTTAGTTCTACTTCAAAATTCACCTCTTTAGGGAACTTTTCTCATAATTTGCCTAACTTACTTTGACTGTATAACTCTTAGCATTGTGGTGCCCATTTTGTATTGTATTTAAATTCTACTTCTTGGTATATTACGTATAAATATGATAATACGTCTTTTAAAATGAATGTTTCTTTGCCAACTAGATTAGATTGACTAATTCTCCAATTAGATGGTAGTTTGGGGCAGCCAAAACTTATGTTGTTTTTTCCTCTCTTTTAAGTTGATTTTTAAAATACACTAATAACATATGAATATACTCTTTATATAAAAAAGTCAAACATTACAGTTATCTAAAGTCCCCTTTGATCAACTCAGTTCCCCTCAGAGTTAATCGTCAATATCGGTTTTATGAGCCCTGCCAGACATTTTTTTATGCATTACTTACATATATATTTGTATTATATATCGAATTTCATATATAATTACCTTCCCTCTGTTTTTCACAACTGCCTGTAGTGATCAATAATCAGTAGATATGAAATAAATCTTACTGATACCTGGGTCTAACAGACTGGAATGAGAAGTGAAAGGTCAGAATGCGAAAACACATCATTTGTGTCCAGCTATAAAATTCCATTCCATTTCTTATCTACATATGTAGTCCCCAGGCATCAGTGGACAGGCCATGGCTCCACGACCCCGGCGACGAAGGCACAAGAAGCCCCGCTCATCGGTGGCTTCCATGGTTGAGACCCCTGTGCCTCTGACTCTCTCAAAACCTGGCCCTAGCATTGATGCACTTGGCTTCCACTCCTTGGAGACTAATGTTCCTGGCCTATCCCAGCTGATTCTTCAAAAACTGAACATGAAAAGCTATGAAGAATACAAGTGAGTGACTCGCTCTGTGGAAGAGCAATACATTGTTTCTGGTAGACATGATTTCAAAAGGTGGAGAGGAGAGTATAACTTGGGGATTATGGAGTATTTGCAATGAGGGATTTTCTCATCCTGAATTTTGCCAGTTTCATTATGATAGAAATTTAAGAAATATAATTTGCTTAAGTGAGAAATGATGGGAGTAGGTGGGCAAATATAGGAGGCAAGGGTCATGGCATATTTTGGAGATAGTCTTTTTCCTATTGCCACTCCTTTTCTATGCTCTATCTGCAGGTTGGTGATAGATGGAGGGACTCCTGTATCAGACTTTGGATTTCGATGCCCTCAAGAAATGTTCCAGAAGATGGAGGACACATTCCGATTCTGTGCTTACTGTAAAGCACTCCCTAGTGGCCTTTCGGACTCCAAGGTCCTCCGGCACTGCAAGAGGTGACTAGTCAGGGGCTGATGGGGGAGACATCCAAGAAATGATCCAGTTCTAAGACCTCATTGTGCAAGGAAAGCTCTGAGAGCTTTCAGAATAACTTAAGGCCCACTCCTATTTTGTGTGATCCAGGCCACAGAGAAATTAGAAAAGGGTTGGACTCCTGCTTAGTTTTGGTGGTGTGGGAGGTCAGACAGATACCACAGTCCAATTCTCTCCACCTTCCTCGTCTTGAGGACTCATGGGGCAAGAACACAGTCTGTTCTGGGGAGGTTGGGCTTGAGCCATAATTGTGATCAGAGGGCAGCTGCAAACGCCTGGTGTGATTTTTTTTCTGTAAGGGATGTAAAAAGTGAGTTGTTGCTGCTAGAGACTGAGGTGTCACTGTGACCCAAAAGAAAAACTACATCCCCAGTCTCATGCTAAAAGAAATCCCCAAATTTGATGCATTAGCTGTCATTTCTCTCCCTGCCTTCTTTACCCAGTAATCTTTCTTCCTAGGTGCAGGACTATCAGTTCCATTTCGCAGGTAGCCCCCAATCACCTTTGAGGTATAGGAACATCTATTTCTGGGGCTCATTCTCTCAGGTGCAGAAATGTCTATTACTGTGGTCCAGAGTGCCAGAGGTCAGACTGGCCAGCACACAGGAGAGTTTGTCAAGAGCTGCGTCTTGTGGCTGTGGACCGTCTCATGGAATGGCTTCTTGTCACAGGTGGAATGGTGGTGCTGGGGACTCTGCCATATGGTCAAAGGTGGTCAGACTTGGGGAAAGATATGAAAGCATGCTGTTATGAGAAAAGAATGAGGAGCTGAGCAGGGCAGGGTTGTGGGGGATTCCTGGTCACAGGTTGGGAGAGTGAACAGAGAGGGAATATCAAAGCCAGGGAAGGATTTGGACACTTCTTGTTCCTTGTTCCCTGCAGGTGATTTTGTCCTCCCCTCAGGACATTGGCTGTGGCCGACTGAAATTGTGCAGGGCTGGGACACCTGGTTTTCTATGCGGCGTTTACAGCTAGATGCTACCCTGGATGCTGTGCTGGGTAGTCATGCCATGACCACCCTGTGGGCCAGTGTAGGACGGCCAAGGCCAGACCCAGACGTCCTGAAGGGCTCTTTGAAGCGGCTGCTGACAGATGCCCTGTCACGGCCCTTGACGCTGGGCCTTGGGCTTCGGGCCTTGGGGATAAATGTTAAGAAGACTGGAGGAAGCACCATTCATGTCGTTGGTGCTTCCCACGTAGAGACATTCCTCACTCGCCCCGGGGACTATGATGAGCTTGGTTACATGTTTCCTGGGCACCTTGGCTTCCGTGTAATCATGGTGGGTGTCGATGTAGCTGCTGGCTTTTCACAGAGCACTTCAGTGTCACCCCTGGAGCCTGGCACAGTTCAGCTCAGTGGCCATAGGGGCCTCTATCATAACTTCTGGGAGGAGCAGGTACAGACTGGGCAGACCGCCCATCCAGATTTGGTGGTGGCGTTCCATCCAGGTAAGAGTCATTGGTTCAGGAAAATACTGGGTGGGTCCTCTGGGAGTTTTCCATCTTCACTCTTGTATCTTTGATCTTTGGAACCCCATTCATTTGGTCAGGTTAAACACAATATGGTGAGGACCTTGTTGATCATTAGCCATATGAGCTACACCTGGGTTCAGAATTGTCCACTGAAGAACCTGGGGTGGGTGATAGTGGTAAATGAGCATTAGCAGTGAGCCAGGTGAGGGTCAGGGTGGACACATGCAGAGAATTAACCTTGCTTAGGGTCTACCTCAGCCTGTCCCCTCTATTCCCATCTTTTTTTTTTTTTTTCCCCTTCTAAATTTTTGTTCCATAGGTTTCCATGCGTCCCCGGACTTGATGGAGGCTTGGCTGCCCACCCTTCTGCTACTTCGTGATTATGAGATCCCTACTTTGATCACCGTTTACAGGTTTCGACTTCTCCTTATTTGTGATATCTCCCTCTCTTTATTTCTCTCCCCCTTGCTCATCTTCTGCCTTCTGGTGAGGAATTTCTTCCTTCCCACACTTGACTTTCTCATCCCCTTGGAACAAAGGCGTGTTATGTTAGTTAATCGGGTGACTCGTGAGACATTGGGGAGGGAGGGATAACCCTTGCCTCGTCCCGCCTTAGGTAATTTTTGGGCTTGATGAGTCCAGAAATGTCAAGTTCTGAGCTATTTCTCTGCCATCTCCCTCATAATCAGCAGAATAATTTTTCTTACCTGTCTCCCATAGCCAACAGGAGCTGGCAGCCTCATTGCAGATTCTGGCGGACCTGGATACACACCTCACTGCCTATGGAGCTAACCCTTTCACGTCCCTCAAACCTGAACAGGTCTATTCCAACCCCAACAAGCAGCCAGTATATTGCAGTGCCTACTATATCATGTTTCTTGGAAGTTGCTGCCAGCTGGGTCAGGGGCATTTAGAAGAGAAAGTAGATGGTGGGGTTTAAATAGCTGAGCTGGATTCTGACTGGATGCCTAGAAAAGAGGGAGGTTGTGATGAAACTACCCTGCTGATGTCAGTTTGCTGCCAACTTTGAAACCCACGTTCACTTGTCCTGGTAAAGGTTCTAAGCTGGATGGAAGCTCCTATGTGATGTGACTCATTTCCAAGAGCTTAGCCACAAATAGCTTCTAGAGACAGGATTCTATACTTAATGTGTGGCAAGAGGCTTTGCTATCAGTCTTTCCAGAGCCTGTAGTTCCTAACAGTGTCCTTTGTGAGAAAGTTACACCTTTGACTCAAACAAGGAGAAGAATGGCACCTTATTCTGAAAAATACTTCTTATCCAGCAGTTTGGGTTAAAAAATGGAGATATGTTCATGATCTGATGTGGTGCAAGAATGGGCAAGTCAGAGAAGTGGTTGGGAACATGGGGAGGTTGTAAGGGTGGGCACACTGTTCTGTTTCCTGGCTTTTTCTAGGTAAATGTTTCATTTTCCTATTTTCTGCTAGGAATGTCTAACCTAGAGCAGCTTTTTGCCCTGGTGACTTTATTTGAATATACTGGAATTATTTGTGAATCACTGTGTCTATACCACAATAAACTCAGTTTGGGGCTTACATCACTTGTTTTATCTTCTTTCCTATTCACTGGCAAGTATTACTTGTCTACACATAACACCCCACAGTTGGAGGTTTCTCTCTTGTCAAGAGGTGATTAACATCAGCTCTCTCTTTAGGCCTGCCACTCTACCACACCCTGTTTTGAGTCTTCCTTCTCTTATCGCATTCTCAGGATTAGGATATTCCCAAGGTATTCATTCCTACAACCTTGCCATGACCTCTACGCCCCACCCCAACCGTGACACAAACCTAGACATTTTTATTGCCCACTCTGATAAGGGGGGGATATTAGAATTAATTTATTCATTTGAAATATTTAGTTAGTACCTACCATGTGAAAGGTACTGTATTAGGGCTTTGGGGAGACACAAAGTTGAATGAGACACAGTCCTTATTCTTAACCTACAAAGGGAAATAATACATATACATAAATACCTTTCTTATAAGATGTAATATGGAATAAGAGCCATGAGAGAGGTTTGTAGTGCTAAGGAAATGGAGTGAAAACAGGGATCACTTTTCTAAGTGATAGTGAAGGTTTTGTGAATTAGAATTTTATGAACTAGGTGGAGGACAGGGCATTTCAGGACAATAGGACAATAGCAAAAGTTTGGAGGCCCCAGAGCATAAGAGATATTTCAGGCAGATTAGCATAAAGTCAGTGGGGGAGGTAGACTGGGACCAGATTATAGAAGGAACGTAGCCAATTGGTCAGCTTTAGATTTATGTAGATCTGAGTGTGACTCCTGGGGCAACCACCAATTAATTTTGTGCCTGTGGGAAAGCTAAACTTCTTTAAACTTCTTTTACAAATTAAATTTGTAAATGGGGATAATGTCTAGTACCCAGAGTTTCATTAAGAGTTTGATAAGTGAGCATGTTTGCAAAGTTGGAGGGTGCACATATCCCTATTACAAAACTTACCACAAAGCAATAGTAATCAAGACAATGTGGTACTGGCATAGGATAGACATAGATCAATGGAATAGAACTGAGACTCAAGAAATAAATCCTTACATTTATGGTCAATGGGCTTTTGGTAGGCTTGCCGAAACAATTCAATGGGAAAAAAATAGACTTTTTTAACACATGGTGCTGGGACAACTGGATATCCTCATGCAAAAGGATGAAGATGGGTCAAAGACCTAAAGAGATAAAACTATACAACTCTTAGAAGGAACTCTTTGAAGAAAATGGGTAAATCTTCATGAAGTTAGATTGGGGAATGACTTCTTAGACATGACACCAAAAGCATAAGCAACTAAAACAAAAATAGATAAATTAGACTTTATCAAAATTAAAAACTGCTTCAGAGGATACCATTAAGAAAATGAAAAGAATGGGAGAAAATATTCATAAATCACATATCTTAATACATGGTAGCTATTGTTGAATACATACCACTTTGAATTTTATTCAATAACAAACAGATTGAACTGGCAGGACTATGTAAGATGGTTTGATGATGAAAAAACAATTGGATGTCATGGTTCAGACAATTTAATGCAGGTGTCCGCTAAGGTAATAGTAGTGGGCATGGAAAGGAAGAGGTAATTTCTAGCTATAACAAGTAAAGTAAATAAATAGATGGTGATTTTATAGATAGAATATGAAAGTAAAATCTACAAGGTTTGGTTACTGATTACGATGGGTGAAGTGTGATGTATCTATTAGAGTCTAATCAGGAGACAGCGCACAGTAACAGGTGACACAAAAACTTCCAACTTAATAGCATGGTGATGATAGTACTCAAAAGTCTAAATGCCTGGCTTCATGTTAAGTGCTGAGGATTCTAAGATGGCTTTTCCCTTTAAAGTGTTTAGAGTTCAATAGGAGAAGACTGACATAATCAAAGGCAATATAATAGCATTATATTTCCTAAAGTCAGCAGATGATGTGAAAAAAATTGTGTTTTCAAAACTACATTGAAAATCCCTTAGATAGCACTACATTGGATTTCAACATATCCTTCTCTCAATAGGTCTTGTCAATTTTTCCTCCAGTCCTGGAAACAAATCTCTGTTTATTTAGTTGATCATCAGATGAAATAGTTGGCTTGTGTTTTGGGAGGCCCTGTTGTAGTCAATCAAATAGCTATTGAATATTTATTACTATACCCTAGAGTTATCCCTGTTATCAAGGAGCTTACACTCTAGTGGGGGGAAACAAACAGTAAACATGCAGAATTTCAGATGCTTTAAAGTGCTAGAAAGAAAATTAAATAGGGTAATGAGTGTGTATAACTGGTGGTGGTGGTGATGGCAGTGGCTGCTAGTGATGCTATTCGGTTGTCGGAAAAGTTATGACGCATTTTTGCAACAAAAAAACGTAGAAAAAATACATCATGACTTTTTCGACAACCCAATACAATGTTTAGGAAATACCTACCTCTCTGAGGAGATGGATGGCGTTTGAGATGACAGTGGAGAACATTCCAAGCAGAAGCCATAACAAGTGCAAAGATCCAGAGAATCTCTGGTGTGTTCGGGCACAAGCTTGGTGTGTTTGGACAGAAGGCCACTTTGATCAGATTTAATGATTGAGAAGGAAGGTGAAGAGGGATGAGATCAGAAGTAGGCAGGGGCCAGTTACAAAGGGCCTAATAAGCCATTGCTGGGAGTTTGGATTTGATTCTGGTTCCAGTGGGAAGCCATTGGAGGAGTTTAATCAAGGGAATGATATCCAATTCTTTTTTTTTTTTTTAAGATTTTTATTGGGGAATTGGGGGGATGGGAACAGTGCTAGGGAATTGGGGGAAGGGGAACAGACAAGGTTTGCTGTCCTTTTGTTCTTCAGTCTAGTTGTGGAGGACGTTGCTTCACTGGCCCAAGTTGGCACCATCATTGCACTCTTCCCGGGCGAGGCAGATCAGTCGCCGGCTTCTGGACGGCCACTCACTGTGGCTGCTGGCCGCTCACGCTGGCTGCTGGCTACATACGGTAGCCCATGGCAACCCAGTGCCACAGGGGCTGCAGCGTACGCCGTCGCTGTCGCCAGTGACTCATGGCAGCCCAGCTCCAGGTTGAGCTGTTGTTCAGCATCTTAGCTGTGAAGGGCAGTGTCATTGGCTCTCATATGTGGGATCTGAACCGGGGTCCTCTGGCATCCCAAGCCAGCTCTTAACCAACGCGCCACTCGGCTGGCCCTGATCCAAGTTATTCTTTAGAAAGATTACACAGGGGTTTTTTTTGTTTGTTTTGTTTTTTAACCTCAGCACTATTCACATTTGGGGCTGAATAATTCTTTGTTGTAGGGGGCTGTCCAATGCATTGTAGAATGTTTAGTAGCATCCCTGGCCCACTGGTACTAGTAACACTCTCCTCCCAAGTTGTTAAAAAATATTTTCAGACATTATAAGATGTCCCCTGGGAGACAAAATTACTGCCCTCACAACAAAAAGTAGACTCTGACACAATGGAATGTTCACAGTAAGGAGAAGCATAATGGCTCCTATTTCTCATGAATTCTGGGGCATCTGATGACCTTCAGAGGTGTTTTGTTTTGCTAAGTTTATGTGGTTGAATACAGGTAAGTTAAATGCTCATGTGCTATGACTCCATTGTTAAGTGTGCCCCAGCAGACACCTATAAAAGGTTTAGTTGGGTGCAAAAGGGAGTATTAAGTCTTCCCAAGGGAAGGGAAGCAAAAGCAGGAGGAGGTGTGGAAAAGTTTTTGAAGCAGGAAGGAGATGGGCAACCTTTGAGTTTCATAGTAGATGGATAATTATTAAATGGCAGGCAGTGCTTTCTAGGTAGAGGAAACATGAAGAAAGGGCCTCTGACCCTGGAGGGTCTTGTATGTGTATAGAGACCCCCGGAAAAGTGTGTTTTTATATGAGCAAGAATGACACTGAGTGCTGTGGAAATTCCCCATGAAGATAAACAACCATCAGATGGGCAGTGCAGCAATTGCATGGACTGATAGGAAACAAGTCTGTGAGGACTGATAAGGTGACGTCCTGTGGCTCTACTGAAGTCCATAAGAACCCAGGACTTTGACAGCTCCGGGAGCCAGTCCTGACTGAGGGGTGACCACACTGCTCCTCTGCTGCTAAAACCTGCTTGCTCCATCAGACTCAGACTGAACCTCTGTGGACCGACCTCCTGGACCAGCAGCCCTGCACACTGGATTCTGATTGACTCTGGGTCTGGTTTGTTATAAAAATACTGTACTAAATTGTTATAGCTATATTGATGGCCATATTGCTGATTATGTTGTGGTGTGATATTGATGTTAAGGAGGCTATTCCTCCCACTGTGTTTTCTGTGTGAATAAATGAGCATATTGAAAGGCACTAGACCTGAGTGTTTGCCTTAATTCTCGCTCAAAGCCATGGCTACTGGGGAGGCGTCAGAGCCAGGTAGATCCTGGGGGGTCTGAGAGTCTTTCCCAGGGTTAGTCCCTCTGACTTGCAGGAAGAGACTGCAACATGGTCTGTGAGCCTAGCTAATGCTCGTGTCAGTATGTCAGGAAAGAAGGGTGAGTTGAAAGGATGATGAAGTGGGAAATCTAGTGGTAGTGTCTGAACAGGCCATTGGATATTTGGGCCTATAGCTCTGGAAATAAGAGGTTTGGAAAAGATCCTCTTAAGGTGATAGTTAAGGCAGAGGGAGGGGTGGGGATGAGATCACCAAGGGAGTAGTGCAGAGTGAAGAAGAGTAAAGACAGGCTTCTTAGGGAATGCTTAAATTCCGGAGGTCTCCGGGGGCAGATTGGACAGAAAGGCCTGTTATTTGCCAGGTAAACAGACTTGTAGAAGCTGGGGAGTGAATGCTGGGTACCGAAAGTATTGTGCAGCTTTGTTTAAATTTGACTTTCCTCAAGTACCATCCACTTCGTTCCTCTTTGGGGGACATTTGCTCTTCCCACTAAAAAGTTTTAAGCCATCCTATCCCACTCCCTTGAGGAAGCTTTTGGGTAGAAAAGCAAGTAGAGTAATAGGTTGATGGTTCTCAAATGATAGTTACAATATATTCATGGGGATGTGAAGTACTGTA